CACTGGCTCTTAATAGTGAGACTATAGAACCTGATTTAGAGGAAAAACAAGCTAAAAACTATACCCTGCTCAGTAGAAGATTGCCTTTTTGGCCAAATACAATAGTACCCTTCCCTTTCTCGAGGGGAAAGCTCTCCTGGTGACTTTATCCTTGAGTCTCCTCTTGTACGCCGTAAAACATGTACGGAAATTGCACTGTTAATCATTGTTTTGTTGTCCATAGGAAACATTAAAACGATTACTGGTTGAAATTTAAACTGTTTGAGGAATTACTTCATGATATAAGATTGCGATTAATGAAAACTCAGAGCGACAAACTAATTAGGAGTGATCTGTTACGCGTTATATTAAGTGTAATTTTTGCTTCGCTGATCGACAGTGTGATGATCAGAATGAACAAGTCTGGCAAAAATGTAATAACAGTAGCAAGACAAAATTACTAATTGTAAAAAAGTTTTCTTTATGGAGGAAGCACGAGCTGAGGTGGTAAGCCGTGTGTTTTTTTTGTCTCAGCCGGGAGTTTGAAAAACACAAGAGGGAGCAGCTGGAAATTTGGACTAAATGTATGGAAGACATGGAACGGGGAATACTTTACTAACAAAACACTTTGGTTTACTTGACAAGCAGTGTACAGGCTGCAAGATTATCGGAATCAAATAAGACGAGATGACAGGAACGGATCTAATGTTACTAGTGGCTCTTAGTATTTCGCTACATGTTTCTATTTATGTTACATTTGATTATCATTTTAGTGCCTTTTGTAAGCCTGCGATTTTCACTAGTTCTCGTTTTACAAGTCTTTGTTTAAATGTTCCGCGTTTTCAAGTCCTCGTTTTACAAGTTCGCAAGTTATACTAATTCACCTTTAGAATTCCTCGTTTCTTTTTACAAGTCTGCTGTTTTACTAGTCTTCATATTACAAGTCATGGTTTTACAAGTTCTCGTTTTACTAGTCTTCGTTTTTCAAGTCTCCCTTTCACAGGTGTTCGTTTAACAAGTTTGCGATGTTTACTAGCCCTCGTCTTTTAAGTCCGTGTTTTTCAAGTCCAGTCCATTCTAGTCCACTCCAGTCCAGTCCAGTTCAGTCTTTCCAGTCATCGTACGATGACGTCAGTTCGCTCGCAGTGTCCCTTTATTCTTCCGCAAAAGAAGAAAAGGTTCGCGAAAGTTTCGCTTTCGGTTTCGTTTTCCAGTCTTCACCGGTCGTGATTTGTTGAAGCTATTTGACGACATCTAAACGGTTCTGGAGGATTCTGTATTTCCTAGAAATAAGTTTATTCTGGAACATGGAAGATCTTCAGCCAATGTCTGATGCGGAGCAAGCTGCCTTCTGTGTGGAATTAGCGAAGCGACTTAACATGCTGCGAAGACAAGATCATTTATGCGACGTAACTTTGGTGACGAAAGATGACAAAGAATTCA